TGATAGGATCTTCATATTATTATTATTATTATTGCTATTTGGAAACCCTTCTTATCTCTTGGCACAGGGATGGGTGTGCAGACCTGGGACTTGAGTGACTTCAATTCAACCACTCACACTTATTTCTTGAGTGCCGACTATGTGACTGGAGTTGTGTCAGGGATAGAGGTAAGGTAAAGGCTGTCTGGTGTGAATTGGCTTCTTCGATGGCACATATGAAACAGAATCAAATGGCCCTGCTTTCTTATTCCGCTCCCTCAATGCTGCCGTACGGGATCTGTGTTGGTAATTGCACCATCTTGGCCCTCAGGAGCTGACATTCCTGAGGCAGAGGCAGATCCAAGGGACCACATGGTTATGATCTATGCTAGGTGCTACAATGGGGAAGTCCAGGGTGCTCTGGGGGCAGTACTGGATCAATAGACAAGGGACAACTTTGAATCTGGGAGGTCTAACCTCTCAGGCCTGTGTGAGATGAAAAGTGAGGAGTAAGGGTGAGCAGATAGGACTATTGGGTTGTCATTTGGGGCTAGCCTGTGGGTTCTTCCTCTCCCACCCCAGAGAACTGGAGCTTGTCTGCCTGCAGGCTTTGAAAGTTGTCCTTATGCTGCAACTCCACAGCACTGCCCTGCTGGGCCCCACTGCTCATCACACCCTCTAGTGGCCACAACTCACAGCAGTGCTGGGTTGGACAGGACGTGCCATTGTAATGCAATGCAAATGCAATGTGACAATATAAGCACAAAGGGACTGTCATTGTCCTACCTTCCCTTCCTAACACCACCTCCACTCAGTATTGAGGGCTAACTCTAAGCCCTTTTGCATTTAATCTTGGTAACTTCTCAGCATGATTCATATTCCCATTTTACAGATGAGAACCCTGAGGCTTAGTACTGAACTCAGTGAACCAGACTCATCTCAGTGTATGGCGGGAGTACATCCAGCTGGTGCTCTTATTAACATCATCCCCCAACCCCACCTTTGGATTCTTGTACCTCAGTGTCACATCTCCATTTGAACAGGAGCAGAGGCTAAACTTTACTGAAATTACTGTCCAGAGAAGAATGTCACTGCTTAAACCTTTCCTGGCCTGAGGCTCCAGCAGCACAAGCTCCACAGGCCCAGCATCCTTCAGGGAGTTTCTCCAGGTACCCTGCTGAGTCCAGGGAGGGCTGATGAGAAGGCAGGAGCCACAGTACACACTCTTGCCTCCAGAGGTCTGTGCTGAGCAATCCTGAAAGCCCCTCTGGTCCTGCCTGGTGGAAGGCTGTGCTGTACCATCCCTCCTGTATCCTGTACCATTTCCTTTACTTCACATTACACATACCCATATACTCCTTATTCCCATCAGACTGGCTAGGTTCAAATCCCATCGCTGCCACTAACTACAAAGTTAAGCAAATGACTTAATGTCTTTGTGCTTCAGTATCTTTAGCTGTAAAATGGTAGTAACAACCATACTTATACACAGAATGTTGTTGCGTTGTTTTTTGTTTTTAAAAAAATTATTTATTTATTTTTTCTTATTGTGTACCGTCAAATCGGATCAGACAGGCACAGGAGATTGCTCCTCTCTCTCCAGTGGAGCATCTTGTGGATTCAAAACATGCACCTTCAGGATTATAGTGCAGCTTCTTGTCACTAGGCCACCAGAGCTCACTAGAGTGTTATTCTGTGTTGTCTCAGAGTAGGCCTCACATATTTCATTCTGATACAGCGGGTCCAATGTAGGTAGCCTCTAAGATAGATTTTTATTTTTTTAATTAAGTGAAGAAAGGCAGTTTATCTCGGCATGCTGTAGAAAAGGAAAAAGATCAACAACGAGTGGGAGAATCGGACAGCTGGCAGGTCAACCAATCCCAAAACTCCTCTAAGATCACATTTTGAAAATCATTGCTTTGAAGGTTGTGCCTGGAGAATAAAGACCTACATACTACTTCCTAGCCCTTAGGGGTGAACATGTCAGTAGTAGGTGCCACTGAGCCCATTTCTATTCATGGGGATCCTGTGGGGTTTTTCGAGATTATAATCTCTATGGGTGCAGATTGCCAGGTCTGTCCTACAGCTGAGCCCTTGGTGCGTTCAAACCATTAACCTTTTGGTTAGCCACCAATGGGGTTTTGCATTCTGATAGTATCTTTAGCTCATTTTAATGGCAAATGAAAAAGGCAAGTTATCTGTAACATTGAGATAATAGCATCCATCAGGATTGATAGTTTCAAGACTAAGGTAAGCCTGATTGAGACCATGGTCTTTTTAATCACTTGCTATGCATCTAAGAGCTGGACGATGAATATGAATATCAGGAAAAGAAGTGATGCCTTTGAGCTGTAAAGTTGGAGGAGAGTGCTGAATATCCCACGGACTGTCAAAAACCAAACAGGTATGTCTTGGGAAAAGTGCAGCCAAGGAGCTCCTCAGAGGCAGAGAGTGAAGTTTCCTTTCTCACACTTTGGATATGTTTGTTGCTAGGAGAGGCTATTTAATGCATAGAAAGGTTGGTCAGATGCTCAACCATGTTGAATGACACAGTGACTGCACCAATCGGTTCAATAGAGTCAGAGATGGTGAGTCTGGCACAGGGTTCAGATCTGTTGTTCCTAGGGTTGCTATTAGTCATACTCAACTTGACAGCATCTAACAACAATCAGGACTGAGCCTTGGTGGTATTGGGATAAGCTTTGGGCTGCTAACCAAAGGTAGAAAACTGGAATCCACCAGCCATTCTTTTGGAGAAAGTCGATGCATTCTATTCCTGCAAAGATTTATAGCCTCAGAAACCCTTGTACTCTGGCCTGCAGGGTTTCTATGAGTTGGAATCATTCCATGGTGGTGAAGGGCTCTCTGCTGTTGTGAGAAATAAATGGATAAGTCCATGCAACACTTGCACATAGTAATGATGTTACAAAAGCACTAATTTTACAGCTTGTTGTGGTGCTAACAGGAACGGTGTTTCTTGACTAAGACAGACTAGGAAGAAAGGTGGGTAGATTACCTAAAAGAAACTTAAAGAAAACCCTATGAATCACTAAGATTTTATCTTATTGTGTATGGGCTCATCAAGAGGCAGCTGACTTCACAGCAGCCAACAATAAAATTATTACTGTAATCTATAAATCAGCACATAATCTGAGAAACACTTTACATAGATTTACATACATCCTTTGTATTTTAAGGCTAATTTCTCTGGGAGACAAGTGACTAAAAGGAGCCACTAAAGAGACTTCTGGGGTGTGCGTCATGTTTTCTGATCTGCAAGGTTAACTAGGTGTGATCACTTTGTGAACTTTTCATTTCTGCGGTCCACTAGACATTTGAACACTTCAAGGGCACACTATTTCTTACATTGTGAAGTGCGCAGGGCAGGCATCATTATCCCCATTATTTTTGGACAGGAAACTGAGACGCAGAAAGCAATTTTGATTTGGCCATAGTGGCAGAGGACGCCTCTCAGTATGCTGCTCCGTGGAGAGTTAACAGCGACTCCCAGGGAGCGCGGAGAGAACAACAGTACCTGGCTCCAGGTAACGCCAGGCAAATGGTTCGAGCCTTCCAGCAAATCCGGCCCTTCCCCCAGCGAACACACAGACACCGGGCCGGGGACTTGCACTACAGTACTCACAACGCCAACCCCACACGTGGGCGTCCCGAGGGGGACTCGCGCGCCGGCGCCCCCGGCCCCCACCGGACAACAGCGCCCAGCACTGGGCCAATGAGAGTTGCGGAATTTCTTTCATTCAGCGCGGGGTCGGGCTCCTGCCCGGAAAGGGGCGGGGCGCTACGCTGGGGGGCGGGACCGCCGCGCGCTGGGGAGAGGGCGGTGCCCGCCCAGCGGCCGGGCCAATCAGCGCCGTGCCCTGGGGGGGAGGGGGAACCAGGCCTTTTTTTCTCTCCGCGCGGGACCAATCCCGACTTTACAAGCTTGAACTTTTGCCACCCTCGGACGAGCTAGCGCGCCCGAGGAGGTACCCCGCCGCGCCGGCTCCAGGGGCAGGAGCGGCTTTAACCCTTCCCGTGCCAGGCCGCCCTCCGCGTCCTCGACCCCCGCATCCATGACCTGGCCTTGTGGGACCCATTCCCTCAATCCATACCCCATTTACGTGATAAAACTTGGCTAGGAAAAGCACGACCCTTACTCATATCATTCTTTGCACCACAGAGACAATTGGAGAATGTGGGAGAAGCAGGGTTGAAAGCACCTGGCCGCAAGGGGTCCTGAGATTGCAGGGAGCTCAAGAGGGCCCGGGAGACTGATCGAAGCCTGCTAGGAGAAAATACGTGCTTCTACCGCGTCCTTTCCAATTCCTCACCTCCTATAAACCTGGAATCCCTTTGCGCGAAGCTTCCGGGGAGCCCGGGGTTGGCTGTGAAGAGCGGCCCCCGACCCTGTGCAGGGGGTGTGGTGTGTCCGTGCTGTAGCTTTCCCCTGTTCCCAAGTGGTTAACGCCAGGAAGGCCCACAAGAACACCCATTTTTACTAGCTTTCTCGGGGTTAGGGACTTGGACCAACTCTAATAACGTGAAGTGTTGCTTTTAAGTTTGTGCACAAGCCAGAAAGAAGCAAAGCGCCCTTTTTGAGTATGAGTATCAAGCAGATCCGCCAGGTCCTTGCGCGCTCTCCTGTGGTTTGTGTAACAGTGTGTGTGTGTGTGTGCGCGCGCGCGCGTTGTTGCATCCGTGCCTGGGGCGCAACATGAGCCCAAGTGCGGCCCGTGGGCGCTGTCAGGCCCGGGGCGGTGGTGCCGGGGCGGGCGGGGGCCGGGGTTCGGCCCGCCCCGGGAGCCAGCCCCTTGGAGCCTCGGGTCTTGCAATGGGACGTGTTCTCCTTTAAGAGTTAAGAAACTTGAAACCTTGTTTGCGCAACAATCAGCGCCGCGGAGCCGCCAAAGTGTCTAGACTGGCATATGATGGGAGGCAGCCAATGACTCCGCGGCGCTCCTCCGGGGGCCCTCAGTGTGCGTTTGAGGAGAACAAAAAAGAGAGAGAGCAAGCAGAACTGGGGAGCGAGCAGGGGAGCCGAGCCGAGAGAAAGAGCCGGGCGCTGCCTCGCCAGATCTCGCCGGGCCCGCGGGGCCACCGGGAGACACTTTTTTGTGGAGGGGGGTGGGGGGCGACCTCGGCAGCCGCGGCGCCCAGAGCGCCCGAGCGCAGCGTGCGGCAGGCTGCAACCTCTGCCTCGATGGATTGCATTTTAAACTGAGGATTCCTAGCAGCTCTTGGGATTTTTTACAGTTCCACTCATGTGTTGACACCGCGTTCAGGAGAAACTCGCTTCAAGTGCATCTAGTTCCTGGACTTGAGACGGAGTTGATCTTTACGTGCGTGCAAACCCAAGGATTTTGGTTTTGTTTTGAGGTGTTTTGTGTTTTTTTTTTTCCTCTCTCTGTCTCTTTTTTCCTTTTGCAGAGTTTAAGAAGTGAGCTGAGGTTATTAACAAGCCTGCCTTTCGGATCCTGCAGGGAAAAGCCCATGTAGTTAAGCTCTTGGGTTTTGGAGGCAGGGCTTCTTAAAAACTTTTAGGGGGTTCGGCTCGAGCGCTTTGTGCTCATGGACCAGCGGCGCAACTTTTGAAGGCTTGCGGGCCCATGCGAGATCTCTCTGGCGGCGCGGTGCCTGCAGCCCCCTTAAAACTCGGGGGCTGGCGTTGTTGAGCAGCCGTGCCGCCGGGGTCCATGTAGCCGCTGGCCCAGCGCAGACAGCGGCTCGGCGAGCGCGTGTTCCCGGCCGCTTTGGCCCGGCCGTCCCGCCCCGGCGAGCTCCCTCATGTTGCAGCCCTGCGGCGCCCCTTCGACGACAAGCTGTGCGCGGTCTGCACGGCGCCCTGCGGCGACGGAGCTTCATGTGGGGCTGCGGCCCGCGCAGCCTGCGCCTCTCTGAGGGAACGGACCCCCGGTAACCGGAGACCGCCTCCCTCCCACCCCTGGCGCCAAAGGATATCGTATGTTCAGGTCCAAACGCTCGGGGCTGGTGCGGCGACTTTGGCGAAGTCGTGTGGTTCCCGACCGGGAGGAAGGCGGCGGCAGTGGCGGCGGCGGCGGCGACGAGGATGGGAGCTTGGGCAGCCGAGCTGAGTTGGCCCCGCGGGCACGAGAAGGCGGAGGCTGCAGCCGCTCCGAAGTCCGCCCGGTAGCCCCGCGGCGGCCCCGGGACGCGGTGGGGCAGCGAGGTGCCCAGGGCGCGGGGAGACGCCGGCGCGCAGGGGCACCCCCGAGGCCCATGTCGGAGCTGGGGGCTAGTGCTGGGGGGTCCCCGCTGGAAGTAGCAGAGCCAGGAGGCCCTGGCTGGCTGCCGGAGAGTGACTGTGAGACGGTGACTTGCTGTCTGTTCTCGGAGCGGGACGCCGCCGGCGCGCCCCGGGAGGCCACCGACCCCCTGGCCGGGACTGCCTTGGAGCCCCCTGGAGGCGGGCGGAGTCGTGAAGCCCGCTCGCGGCTGCTGCTGCTCGAGCAGGAACTCAAGACAGTCACGTACTCGCTGCTGAAGAGGCTCAAGGAGCGCTCTCTGGACACGCTGCTGGAGGCGGTGGAGTCCCGCGGCGGCGTGCCGGGCGGCTGCGTGCTGGTGCCGCGCGCTGACCTCCGCCTGGGCGGCCAGCCCGCGCCGCCGCAGCTGCTGCTCGGCCGTCTCTTCCGCTGGCCCGACCTGCAGCACGCCGTGGAGCTGAAGCCTCTGTGCGGCTGCCACAGCTTCACCGCCGCCGCTGACGGGCCCACCGTGTGCTGCAACCCCTACCACTTCAGCCGGCTCTGCGGGCCAGGTGAGCGCATCCTGCACGGCCTTTGGGCCACCCTCTCCCCGTCTGTCAGTGATATTTCGAGTGGGCTGAACTGTAGATGCGCCCTTTGGGACCTCTGGGGTGTGAAAGTCTCCAGTAAAGGTGAGGCTAGGCTCTTGTCCTCACCTATGCGGGCGGGAGTTGGGAAGAAGAGCCAGAGTGGGTGTTTGAGACCCCCACATCAAATGGCAACCTCATTGTGAAGCTCCAACAGACTTAAAGGGTGCACGGTGTTTTTTCTATGCAGCCTTAGGGACCTAATGCAGGATCCAGCTTCTTAGACAGTGGAAGGGAATAGACTCAGAATTATAGACAGCTGGGCTCTGGAGAGGGGCAACAGTGGATGGTTTCTGAGTTCCTCCTCAGGTCAACTGACTGCCGTCAAGTCGGACTTGACTCATAGAGTCTCCAGATGGTTTTCGGAGGCTGATTAGTTTGCCTATTTTTTCTTCCGCAGCATGCTGATGCATTTGAACTGCCCTTTGGGTTGGCAGTGCAACTCCTTACTCTCTAGGCAACAGGGGGTACCCCTGTCCCCTATGCCTCTGTGCCCAGGCCCCCTAGCATATGTGTGCCTTTTCCTTCACCCACGTTGTTAGTAGATAGATGTAAATAGTGAAACTGGGTGTAGGCAAATCAAGGCTAGACTCAGAAGTGCTTGTAAATTGCAGGCTTGTACCTTTGCAAACTTGGGAGAAAGCTTTTGTTGGATAACCTTTCAGACCGGATACCACCCTATTTGTGCCCAGCATCCTTTGGGTGTCAGATGCCAGGGTACTCCCGCATCAATTCTTGTTTCCAGCCTTTTATTTATTTTTTTAAATGGAGTTGCGAATACGCATTCTCAGGGTCCTCATTCTCAGGGTCCTCGAGGCACCGGTGAATGGGAGAAGGCCAGCTATTTTATGACTTCTGAGAAAGATCCCTGGTTTTCTTTGTTCTCTTGGGATTTCCTGTGCCGTTTACACACGTGTGTGCTTGTGCGTGCACACACACATCCTTCCCCAACCTCCAAACTTGCTTCCCTGGGTGCTAGAGCAAAGAGGTGAGGGCCACCAGAGGCTCCAGCTGGGTCAGCAGTTTGCAGTAAATACTTCCTGTGCCAACTCTGCATGCCACAAAGCACATTTTTATTCTCTGCCTTCTTTGAATTGTACTGAGTCCTTTGGGCAGCATTGGAGGTTCTGCAGGCAGGAGATTGGAGAGTGTTGGGTACCAGAGAGCCCAGAGTCCTAAGTCTCCTCTTTCCCCTAGAGAGCCTGCACCCAGCCAGGGAACACAGAGAGGGTTCCATTACAGGCCTTCTGACTCATGGTTGGGAAGGGGAATCAGGGATTTATCCCAGGTGTCTTTTGTGTGTGTGTCAGGTACTGGTTGGTTCCTAAAGAGAGGAAGAGTATGTGGTGGGGAGATCCATCTCTGATAGGGGCTACGCTGTGTACCCTGCAATCTGTGGTCACTCCAGCTCCAGTTTAGGGACTTCCAGGAGACCATCTTTACATTTCGTTTTTCTTACTCTTACCCATGAAAGGGGCTCCCTTTTTCCTGCCTCTAACCTAACTCTGTGGAAAGGACCCTATTGTCATTGCCCCATCCCTGGTAATTTCTTTTGGTGGGTGATGGGTTAGTGGGGTCCACTTGGATCCTTCAGAAGGTCTTGGTGCTTATTCTTTTTAAATTTTTTTTTAAAGTTTTATTATTTTTGTGTGTGTACACTGCCAAATCAGATCTGACTGGTATAAGAGGAGATTGCTCCTCCTTCTCCAGCAGAGCACCTGGTGGATTCGAATCTTGTACTTCTGGGATTGCAGTGCAGCTTCTTGCCACTAGGCCATCAGAGCTCCCTTGGTGCTTATTCTTTCTGGCCGCTTCAGTCTGCCAGCAGAAAACTTGTTGAGCACTGTGCTTTATGGGGAGAGTGGAACTAGGAGTAGAATCTACACCCTCAGCAAACATATACTTATAGGGGAGATGGGGCAGAGATGGGGGGAGAAGAGGAGTGGTCAGGGCCAGGTCAGTGAGTCTGTCCACAGGACATGGGAGGTCCTCAGCCAGCTGAGAGTCAAGGTGCCAAGCAAACTCAGGTGGGTGGGCTGAAAGGGGAGGAGGGGAAAAAAGTTGGAGATGAACAGACAGTATCCTCCCTCCCCACCACACCACTTCTGCAAGTCCATTTGGGTGTTGGATTGAGTCTGGTGGACTTTGAGAAGATGAGGTTGAGGGACATCAGACAAGCTCTAGAGGAATGTACCACAGATACAGGCATAGGCTGTTTACCCCCTGTAATCACCACCTTGACCTTGACCAAGTTCCCTCCTTTAGTTTCCCTACAGGTCAGTGCAAGTGGCTCTAGGAACACACTCCACATCTAATTCTAGACTAAGCACTGACTGGGTCTCAACTGGCTACTTCCTCCAGAAGGAGGTGCTACTGTAGGGCTGTCGCCCTAAGGTACTCTCCTGCCACTTCACTAGACCATGGATGTTGGTGCCGGAGTGCTAATGGTCTGGAAGGAGTTTACAGTAGGCGCCAGCTTGGTCTTCTTGCTTCATTCCCTACTTGATGGCTTGGGCCTTGGGGACGGAGAACTGGGAGAGTCCGCTGCTGCCCTGCCGCCAGTCTGGCTCCCCTGGCTGGGCGGGTGCATAGCTGAAGTTCAGTGGTGCGCATCCTGATAAGGAGACTGCTTCTTCCAGGGCTCTGAGGAAGAGGACTGGGTCTCAGGGCCAACAGACAGACTGATGGACACACTAGGCACATAAGTAGAAAATGCCCAGCAGACTGACTTTAGACACCCCCTGGTCTCAGTCAGCCCAGCCCATCCTCTCAAGGAACCCCAGTGAGAGGAACCACTTTAAAAGAACCTGCTCTGCTCCCTTTGGGGCAAGTTTCACCTCTCAGAGCCACTTTTCTAAGCTTTAAAGTGAAAAGATTGGACAGGTGACAGGTCTCATAGTCAGGACTCCAGGTGACACAGGTTTCTGTGTCCTCTGTTCCCAGGCTGGCTTAAAAAACTTGGTTCCTGTGCAGACGAGCCTCTCTCAGGCTAGCTTCTGACCAGGGCACTGTCCTGCAGCCTCCTGGCCACCCCACCCCCAGGGAAGCCACTCTGCCTCCCTTTTGTGTGCCTTTTTGTCCCAGGAAAAGCTCTATTCCCTGAGCTCTGTGGGTGCCTATGTGGACGGAAATGTGGAGAAATACTTTAATCACAGCTCTAACCTGTGTTTAGAGAACTCCTTTCTCATGAAAGTATCCATTAACTTTGGAATAAATCTCCTGCTCTTTGCTTTACCACTTTTTTTTTCTGTAATTATATTCAGTAAATTACTATTATCGAAATTGTGCCAGGGAAAGAGAGACAGAGCTCTAGAGAGAACTTCTAAATGACTGGAGGAGGCCGCCTAGGAAAACACAGGGTTCCCAGGCCAGGACTATAGGAATTAGAATGGACTAGAAAGTTTTTCCTTTTATTTGGCCTGGCATTATCCCTTTGAAATGAGATCGATTTCAAGTTAGGCTTCCAAGCCCCTGCCCCGCCCTGCCCAGCTCTCGGGCGGCCCCTCCACCGCCTGGCCGGCCCCTCAGCTCCTCCTCAGAGGTGAGGAAGGGGTGATAATGTGCAGTTTGCCTCTTGCTGGCGCCAGCCGGCTGCGCTGTTTATCTGGCTGCCAGGGGAATCTGGGCAATTAGGCTCAGCCAGCCTTAAAGCGCCAGGGGCTCCTTTTTTGAGTCTCCCACCCTGGGGCTGGGGGTTGAGCCTTCTGGGCTGAGAGTGGAAGGGATGGGTGCCTTGGGGACCCCCTCCTTATCCAAGGCCACTGATCTGGAGAAGAGAAAGGAGAGAAGGCAATGGTGATCCTGAAACTAAGTAAGATGGTCTGCAGAAACAGGGGTGGAGGGAAGTGTCCCGAGCAGAAACTTCCAGGGAGTGGGAGAGGCTGTGAACTCTTTCTGGCTTTAGAATTAAGGTCTAGATCCCCAAAGGCTGAGGTACTCCCTGGGGGCTCACCAGAAGCACAGGCATGTCTGGGTTGAGCTCAGCTGCACCTTGCCTTCTGGTACACTCGGTCCCTGGCAGACTGCTCTTGCCTCTGGATGAAGTTTGAGGCCATTTTTTAAGTTAATGCCTGAGGTTGGATATCTGAGGGGTCAGAATTTCTGGGTCTTTCTCTCTTTGTCCCGTGTCCATTTTTTAAAGGGCCATTGAGCTCCAGGAGTTATCCCCTACTAAGTTTGTCACAAAATTTATTTAAAAAACCAGTTCAACCTTTGCAAGTCCTTATAGGCAACTTCTAAGAGGGTATTGGGCTCTGATTTTGTCTGTCTCACTGAGTAGCCCTCTGTACCTGTCTGAACATCTTGGGTCCCCATTTTTCCAGGGGCCTGGCCATGGGGGTTGCTGTTTTTTGTTGTTCATAACAGCATTATTCATGAAAGTTCCAAGATGAAAACAACTGTATAATGCAATTTTATTTAGCTGTAAAAAGGAGTGTAATACTGACTCCCCATAATATGGATGGAGCCTTGAAAACATTATTAATGAAAGGTGCCAGACACAAAATCATGAATTGTCTAAGTCCATTTATATGTAACATACATCATAGGCAAATCTAGAGACAGAAATTGGGGGTGGTACAGGGGAGGAATGAGAATGAGTTCTGATGGGTTTGAGATTTCTTTCTGAGGGATGAAAATGATTTAAGAGTAGTGCTTTTTTCATAATTTTGAAAATACTAAACCCCATGGAATTGTAGACTTTACTAGAGTATGAGAATTGTAACTCTTTTAAAATGTCCTCGGTGTTGGTTCACAATTAGCTTTCCTCTTTGGCTTGAAGGGAGAGTGATGTCTGCAGCTACCTGGAAGCATGGGCTTGGTCTGGGCTTCTTGGTTGGGCCTTGGTCACCGGTGAGTTAAGAGCAGTTGAGTCAAGGCAGCTGCTACTTCAGTGTTATAAATCCCAGTGATTTATAGGGATGTTGTGTACACCTTGAAATTAGAACCGACCCATAGCTAACCCTCCAGTGGGTTTTCAAAGGTAGTAAACCACAGAAGGGAGATTGTCCATCAGCTAGTGGATTAGACCACCAGGTGGGAGTGGGAGGAGTCTATAAACCTTAATTTTTCACTTGCTTAGAATGAATTTCATTATTAGCTCCCTCATGGTAGCTAGTTTAGTAGACAGTTCTGTGTACATGGTTTTGGGGGAGCCGTTGGAGTCTGAGAGAGTTCCCCTTGTAAACTTTGTAATTCCTCACCAGTTTAACATTTCAAGTTCCTAGATTTCTGTGTGTATCATTCACATTAGCACCTCCAAGTTAGGTGTGACTATGGGTGATGGAGTTCACAGCCCAAAGCCTAGTGGTTCCAGCCACTGGGGGCTTCAATTGACCTACCTTCCCTCTACCTTTTGGGTCCCAGGTAAGCAATCCCTAGAAGGGATGCTGGAATTCCTTCCAGTGGTTTGATTTCTAGTCACTACTCTCCATTGCTGCCAGGTTTTATATTTGGGGACAGAGCTAGGGCCACATTTCCAGACATTCCTGACATGTAGGACCAGGACTTCAGCCAATCAGATTTTTGCAAAGCTAACCTGGTGCAAATGGTTAAGCACCTGGTCACTAACCCAGAAAGGCTGGTGGTTGGAACTTACCCAGCTGTTCTGTAGTAGGAAGACTCTGATCTGTGACTGGATCCTGTAAAGACTGCAGCCAAGAAAACTATGGAGTAATTCTACTATGTCATATGGGGCTCCTATGACCTGAGAATGACATGGCAGGACCTAATGGCAACTCTGATCAAGGAATTACAGGCTTTCTGTTAAATGGAGTAGTGGAAAGGCCATGAGGCAAGGGCTCAGACTTGGCTGTGGTTCTAACTCCATAACCAGCTCCCTGGTTGGCCCCTGGGGAGTCCCTTCTACTCTCTAGCCCTCAGTCTCAATTCCCTTTCCCATAGAGCACCAAGCCCTTCCTGGCTGTGCCTCTTAGGCTGAGAAGGATGAGTCTCACGCGAATATGACTTCTTATGGCCCTTCCAGTGCCTGAGGGCTAGTGAATAAGGTGGCTCTTCTTGAAGACAAGCAGCTCCTTTCCTAGACTCTTTTCTGGGGTCTCCCTTGGATCACCCTATACTTTCATCCGTGGATATGCCCAACTTGATACTACTATTCTCTTCACTGTAGTCTTTGTCTACAAGTGTCTAGTCTAGTGAGCACTTCCTGTGTCTGTGCTGTGTGGGACCTGGAGTATAAGGAGCAGGGTGGGGCTCTAGGATGTCTCTCTGATTGGCAGGGTAGAGCTTATTGAAAGCTTACCTGAGCCCAAATCCTAGCTCCACCATGATGGGAGAATGGGATAGAGGGAGGCCCAGGCTAAGTCAGTTTTCTCATCTGTGTGATGGGGATATTTACGGGATTCTGATTCTTAATTATTTTTTTTGCTTTTGAGGTAAGATTATATAAAAATAGGTGCTTGTTGAGTAGGATTAACCATTCTGTACCTGCGATCCAAAAGAATGAAATGCAATAAATAGCATTAAGCGTGCCTGGAATGGTGCCAGGCGCAGTAGGAGTTCAGCAAATGTTTGTATCTCTGCCAGGGGCTACTCTGTAATTCACTTTTTCTTTCCTCTGACTCCTTGTCCATAGACAATTCCTTGTTTCTAGACCTCACAGCCTTCACTTTGGGAAGTTAACTTCTGGTCGAAGTGGAGAGGTGAAACCTCATCAGGTGCAGAGGGCAAAACAAATGCTCCCCTAACTAATTGTGCCTTATTATAATGGTGGAAAACACTTATTACCCCTGTGTCATTACTGATACCCGTCTAATAATAGTTATTATGGCTTTATTACCACTGCGAGTTTGTTTTAGTTTGCTATTTGATGGTGTTTAGTTTCATTTACGGAAAATGAAGGGTCATTTCATTCATGCAAATTGTTACTTAGTTTAGCAAATTGTTGCTTCCCGTAAAGCAAGAGGCTGAGGAATTCTTCTGAAGGCAAAGTATATGTTTTTAAGGAGGAGTATTTTAGGCAAATGAAAGGAAACCAAAAGAAAAATACCAGAGACAATGAAGAATTGCAGAGGAGCTGAGCTGGAAGGTGGGGAGAAGCTTTGTCTTCTGCCTCTCTCTACCCTCTAGGAGGGTGGAGATTGGGGCAGAGAGTCCCCAGTGACTGTTTTAAGACGTCTGTTGGGTTTTTTGAGTTTTTAAAATTTTATTTATTTTATTTTAAAGGAGCCCTGATGGCATAGTGTATATATAACATGTGCTGCTAACTGAAAGGTCAGCAGTTTGAATCCACCAGCTGCTCCAAGGGAGAAAGATGGGCAGTGTCTCTGTAATGACTTGTAGCTTTGGAATCATGCTGGAGGGTTGCTGAGTGGGAACCGACTCCATGATAGAGTTACTGCTGTATTTGGTGGTGTGTTTTTTTTCAGCCAGGTAGCTGAGCATGATTTGGTTTCTTGAGGTCCAGCCAATCTCATTCTCCTCCTTTCTGTCATGAAGACCATTAACATTCGATCTAATGTGCTTGTTTGTGTGCACACATAAACGCACACACAGAGCTCTGACTGAGGTTGCTACAGACAGTGAATACAAATACAATTGATTTGAATTTCAGTCGTTTTTAGTGTAAGGTTGTCCCAGATGTTGCAAAGGAGGTGCCTGGACTCAAAATAGATACACTATTGAGCTGAAGGGGAGCTCTGGTGGCCTAGAGGTAAGAAGCTGTGCTGTAATCCTGAAGGTCTGTGTTTCAAATCCACCAGCTACTTTGCGGGAGAAGGATGAGCAATCTTTTCCTGTGCAGTTAACTGCCTCCGAAAACCTGCTAGAGGGTCAGCTGTTGGTTGATTCCAACTCAATGGCACAAAATAACAACAATTGAGCTGAAACAGAAATTTAACTGAGTACCCTGCATTTGTTCTGGAGACTCTGGCTCTGATTTCCTTTGCATAGAAGTGTCTCTTGTAGTAGTAGTAATAATAATGATGATGATGATAAAGAATATAATGAGCAGTTGCTGCAGAGTTCCTGATTCATGGTGACCCATGTGTCAGAGTAGCACTGTGCTCCATGAGGGTTATAATGGCTACTTTGGGGGAAACAGGACTCCAGGCCTTCCTTCTGAGGTTCCTTTCCATAAACACGGATCTCCAGCCTTTCAGTTCTAACCGTGTTTGTTAACTATTAATATCTCTCAGGAATCCTTGTAGTAATGAACTCTGCTATGGAGTGTGATGCATAACTGAACCTCCATTAGGTTTCTGAGACTGTAAATCACTGGAGATGAGATTGCCCATCTTTCCTCCCACAGAGCTGCTGGTGGATTTGAACCACTGGAGAGCAACGGCCTTTAGGTTGGCAGTGCACCTCCCTATAGACTGTGCCACCAGAGCTCCCTATAGTAGTAATCAAAGTCAAAACTATTGCTGTCAGAACCAGCTCATAGAAGACCCTCCAGCTGGTTTTCAGAGGCTGTAAATCTCATAAGAGAAGGGAGCGCTGCTGGCCTACTGGCAAGAAGCTGCACTACAATCCTGAAAGTGCACAGTTCAAATCCACCAGATGCTTTGCTGGAGAAGGAGGGACAATCTCCTCCTGTGCCAGTCAGATCTGATTTGCTGGCACACAACAAGAAAGAGAGAGAGAGAGAGAGAGAGAGAGAGAGAAGGAAAGAAAGAAAGAAAAAAACCCAAAAACAACTCCACAAGAGAATGCCCATCTAGCACGTGGTGGATTTGGACTGTCAGACAGATGTGGACTTTCCTAACAGCAAAACTCGGTGGATTACATTATCTGAGTTCCTAGTAAAAGTTACTGTTTACAGAAGTGTCTTTCCACAGTGCTGAGTTCTACTAAGCACTTGACATTATTATCTCCGTCTGCCCTACCAGCAACCCTGATGTTGGAAAGATTTTTGTCCCCATTTTGGATCTGAGGAAATAGGCTCAGAGAGCTATAGTAAGTTGTCTGAGTTCACACAGCCAAAGGTGGCTGGGGACAGAACTGGACCCATGTCTTATTAAGGCTTTGACCCTAATTATTGTTTGTTGTTTCTGTGAGTTTGGGCAGCAGAGGTGGTGGGAGAGAAGGGCTTCCTGGCCACTGGGTTCATTACCTGAGGAAACCAGTTGTTAAAAGATATAAAATTCACAGGTGTGAACTCCGCTCACCCCAGCAGTGACATGCTCTCTCCTGTCTTCCAGAATCACCGCCACCCCCCTATTCTCGGCTGTCTCCTTGTGACGAGTACAAGCCACTGGGTAAGTGAGTCCTTGCGGGGCTGCCCTTCCGACCCTGTGAACTGTGTCCATTGGAGCTCCTCTTCAGTCGGGCCCGCAGCCTCAGCTGGAGGGGTGAAAGCCAGGCTGGTTGTCTTTGAAAGGGGGTGATGTTTTACAAACACACCGGTGGTTGGGCCAAAGCAGACTGGCTTCTGCAGTGGACTATTTACATCTTGAAATTCCTCCGCTCATCATTAACCTCCCTGCGACCTCTAAACACGGGCCTGTCAGAGATGGATAAGTTTCCACTCAAGCATCTCATTGGCTTTGGGCTGGAATTTGTATCTCTTCCTGCCCCCCACCCCCACCCCCAGCCCTAGGCTGCTCTCCTTTAGTTGTGTATTAATTAGTAGTATGACAGATAGTCTGCATATGAAGTCTTTGTCAGGAGACTTTGGCCTCCTCCACCCTCCTTTTTTTAAATCAACAGCTTTTTACCTGGACAGAAACAAGTGGAAGGTTTAGAAAGTATGTGTTTGGGCACATAAAGGCCCAGACACAGACGATGCTTTAGGGGTGAGCTTAGGGGAGGTGGTAGTGTCCTGTTAGGTATATCTCATTCAGTGATGGGCTAGGTCTCAGTAAAATCCAGGAGCGAGATGACCAACTCATATTCTGGGATAGACAGATGTGTTTTGAAACGTGAAGACCACCTGTTTCCTGATGGCTCTGTGTTTCTGTCCATAAGGGGTTCAGAGCACGGTTTTAGGGCTAGAGAAGTGAGAATTGTAGAATCCCAGGACTCTTCAGCAAGTGGGGACTACCAGGAAACAGCTTTGTGGCCCAGGCCGTTCCCATGGGACTCAAGGTTTAAAAGTCAAATGGTGAGACAGGCTAATACCTTCATCAAATAACCACAAGATATGGATTGGGTTTGGTTTTCGATACATACTTCCTCCCAGTCAAGTATATCAGGATCACCTGAGAGCTCACATGTTAGTTAATGCTTAAGCATCCAGTCTGGCTTTCCTTCAAAGCCCTCCTGTCAGGTTGGAAGTGCCCACTTGGCCCTTCAGGAATTGGATCCCCTCAAGCAAAGAGGACAGAGACTGTCAAAGTTAGTGGTTCAAAACTCAGAAGTGGATGGGAGAACTTTACTTAGTTCTCTGGGGAACTAGAGAGGTCAGTTCACAGAGATAGAATTAGGCTGAATGAAGGAGAAAGGCTGCCCAGCTAATAAGCAGCAGAGCTGAGTTCGGAAACCCAGGGTAGCCCCGAGTCAACTCTGTGGTTCCCCATCTCTCCCTTGCAAGCCTGTCTCAGCATTTCTTAAGTCAACATACTAGTGCCAGTCAGTAAGAAGGCTTCTAGTTCCCTTAGAGAAAATAATTCAAGAATTCTTAGTAAATGTAGCGCCTCAGTTTGAATGTTGGACTTCATTGCTTGAGGAATTTATTGGCCAGTTTATGATTAAAGCAGAAAAACCAGGATACTGGTCACCCCAGCAAAGTGACCGTTTCAGACCAATCCAGCCATTACCATCCCACCTAAACAACCATGAGGGACTGAGTAGGACTGCTGAGAACTCCAAGGCTGTAAATCTTTACAGACGCAGACTCCCACACAATTTCCCCTCAGAGTGGCTGGTGAGTTCAAATCACTGACCTTTCTTGTTTAACAGCCGGATTCCTTCACAGCACCACCAGAGAGCTGGTTTGAAACTAACAGGTGTCCTAGTTATTTTACAAATGGGGACATCCAAGGCCTAAAAAGAGGAAGTGGCCCTTGCTTCCATGGTCATGTAGTTGAGGGGTCTGCAAACTGCGGAATATCACCTGTTTTTGTATGACTCACCACTCAGAATGGGTTTTTTAAATTCTTCTTTCTTTCCCCCCTTATGTTCTTAAATGGTTTAAAAAAAAAATAAAAAAAGCAATATTTTGTGACATGTGAAAGTGAAATGTAACTCAAATTTCAGGGTCCTGAAATTAGGTTTTCTTGTTACCAATCGCCATACTTATTCATTCAGTATCGTCTGTTTATTCAGTATTGCTTTTGTGATAGAGTGGCAAAGTTAAGGACTTACAGCAGAAGTTTAACTTACAGAGCCGAAAATGTTTACTGTCTGGCGCTTTCTAGAAGTTTACCAACCCCCTAGTACAGATGGCGGATGGAGGCAGGACTTAAATTTGGGCTCCAGCTTTCAGGCTGGGCTACTGCCAAGATCTCATTGGATCTTGGGCAGCAATCAAGGTGAGCAGTGTTCCTTTAATACATAGCTCACCGGTATATTGAACATTGAGATTCTTACTAGAAATACTAGATGTGAGGATCTGGCCACCGTAATAGGGTTTTCCAAGTCGTGGAAGGTGGAAACTACCCATCATTCCACTCCCTCTGAGAACCTTCTAAAATCTTTGTGGGCTCCACAGCGATCCACTAAGAAATAGGATGTGGCGTGCCTGTGATGTTACAGATTCAGACGAGAAGTGGCTGCAAGACCCAGCGTTTTGAGGACGGAATTCCTTGGGATCATTGGGGCTAAAATGCAAGAACTCTTCTAAGAAGCTCTCACTTAGCCATTAATATGACTTTCCACGTATTTTTATTTACCTCTTAACATATTTTACTAGCAAAAATAACTTTTTGCACAGCCTGATGAACAGTTTGAGTTCTTTTTTGAATTCTTTTCTTTTCCTTGCATTGTTGCATTTTCATAAACAAAAAGTCAGTTCACTTCTAAGCCTCTGTGATCACATGAGACCCAAAATCAAAATAAAACCAAGAACACCCAGTCAGCATCTGGCAAGTGGGAAACAAAAAGGGGGGGGGGGAAGAGGCCAAACTGGTTAATGTTTCATCTTCCCGCTCCCTAAGCCATGTGGTAAAAGAAAAAAAAATCCTGCAGGATCGAATGGAATTCTAGCTCTCTAGGGCCTAGGCTAATAATGGTTTTGTCTGAGGAATCCTGGCCTTGAGTGGCTCTCTTGGGCCAGGTGGGACCGGCTGAGCCTGACCTGGGTCCCTCTGGGCAAGGAGATGATGGTGAAAATGCTGCAGGCTTCACAGAACATGGCTTCAGCCTCCTGGACAGGCCTCTTCCTTAGGGGGACAACACCCCATTGCTGGTAGGAGGCACAAACACAGGAAAAATTTTCCAAGTGTACCCGCCCCAGAAGGCATTGGCTTGTCAAGCGAGCAGTTTAACGTTCAAGAACAAATGAAGCTTCCATGCAAAGAATTTCCCTTCCTCATTTAACTGCCCTGCACACGTTGAAATAACGCATGCCATATGAAGTATTTAAAACGACTTTTTTAAAAAAAAACACCCAACACCCTGCCTTCAAAAAAATAGTCGAGGCATTGAAACTTGCTCTGTGAGCCGGATTGGATGTTAGGAGGTTGGAGAAGGGAGAGAGGAAAAAAATAAAGTTAATCTGGGAGCAAATGCTTGAGCCCTTAATTAGAGGGGTGTAAACGGGACAGAGTGAGGATGGCTGGTAACTTGTTAAAACAAAGTTTCCCCAGCTTCAGCGGGAGGAAGGAAGGAAGGAAGGAAGCAAGCAAGAAGGAACAACTTCAAGAATTTTAATGGTTGTAATTAAGTACAGCAGCTATGAATTGTTTAGGGGCTTAATTTAACCTTACCCAAGGAGGCACCAAGTTGCTACTTGCTCGGTCCCCTGAACTTCGGTTTTTTTCTTTCTTTCTTTTCTTTTTCAGGTGCCAGGGAGTCAGCATTTTTTAGAAGAGGTCCAGGGCTGGCTTGGCCTAGTCCTGGTCTATCATGGCATGGGGCTGTGTGGGGCCCCCGCCCTTTGCAAGCAAACACATTCACACACACACACACAGAGGCACAGGAAAGAGAAGAGAGGGGAGTGCCTGCTGCCAGCTGAGTTCTTTCTGTTTTCTCCCACAGATCTATCTGATTCCACATTGTCATACACTGAAACGGAGGCCACCAGCACGCTCATCACTGCTCCAGGCGAATTATCAGGTTGGCAGGGTTTTTCCCCCCTCCCTTATCCTTGAGTGTTGCTGTTGTTTGGAACTTCAGAGAAAGAGACAAGTGATGGAGGGGCCTGATGGAAGGTTTTCTTATGGTTTTTTTTTGAGCCCTCTTGTTCCTTTTGCCTCTTTCTCCCATCCCTTGTGTGTGTGGGTGGGGAGATTGTCAACATTTCCATTACTAGTGTTCTTGGGGGGTTAAGAAGGGTCTGTGCAAGTAAAATCTAAAAGATGATCCTTTTTAAAGTATCCCTCAAGCCGTGTTTCTCCTCCGTAAAAAAAGTTCCACGTAGTCCACAGCCCCTCGTTTCAGCAAGGGGTCCTCTGCTCCCAGCTGCCGAGGAGCATCACACATTTATCTTCATTAGTGTCTCCCCTCCTTGGGGAGGGACTCTTGTGAAGGGTCAGATGAGTGGTGGTGGTCAGTGGAGTATGTGTAAAGAGCTTGTGGGGGTTCCTCTACAAAGTGAGGTGCCACTGTCAAAGGCTGTGCTGGGATGAGAAGCAGAGAGAGCCCTGGCTTGGAACCGCCTACTTTTGTAATTAGGAGTTGGTTCATTTCCCCACATTTGAGGGGAATGCCTAGGCCAAGATTTCCTTGAGGAATGAGAGATTATTTTCTTGGGAACTGAGAGATTTCCTTGGGAGTTGGTGGGCATGTGAATGCCAGCAGGAAGTTGGGCAGCTTGATCTAGGGGGTCCTTTGAGACATTCTAAGTAGAGTGCAGTGGGAACAGCAGGAGTTGATTCTGTGCTGAGCAGGGCTGTCAGCTCAGGCTGGGACTGTGTCCTGATCCCTTGTGGGCACAGCTCAGTCTTGGTCGAAGCAGGTCTCTGTATCTGAGTTATTCGTCCTTTTCCCCATGTCCATTTCTTAACAGCAGTAACAGTAACAGTTATCATAGCTGTTCACTAAGTGTTTTCTATGGGCTCTGCCCCAGTCTTCTTTGTGTACTTGATGTCAGAGCAACCCCAGACTGTTTGAGAGGATCAGAGGGATCAAGTAATTTGCCTATGGTCACATTGTGGCAGAGCCATCTCCTCCAGGATATCTACTCTTCACCACTGCTTTGTGTCCCAGTACTCTGCAAGGGCTGAATGAACCTCTGAGACTATTCTCTCACAAGTTCCATCCTTTCTGCTCCACTTTCCCCATGATTCTAAGAATAACACCTTGCTAGTTACTCCTGGCTGCCTGGCCATTTTCCGTTTCCAGAATCCTTCCCTGGAATATCTTCTTAATGCTCCCCATGACTTTTCTAGGGTCATTCATTGGGTTCATGGCAGGCTGATACTAGATTTGAGTTTTTGGATCCTCCTCCCGAGACACCCTTTGGCCTCTGTGACCCCTTTATGAGCAGGCATTGCCTTCTCTGCCTTTGGGTTAAAAACTTGTTTTCCTTTAAGACACAGGTGAACATAAGAAGTTCATATTTCAGTTCATTCTCTTTTTCCTTTGTTTTTGTGTGGATGGGAGTCATGTATAATTTTGAAGCTAAGGGCTTCACACCTATTGCTGAATTTCTGTTTCTTTTGTCACTGCCAATCCCCAGAATGCACTCCTTTTAGATGGGGTGCATTAGCATCAGTTGTCTGGGCTGATGGGCATTTTTCTGACATCCGCTTCCATCCCTAGCATTTGGAGGTACCACAGTTATTTCACAGGGTCCCTAAGGTTAAAGCACTCCAAGAGATCCCAGCTGCCCCCATCTGGTCTCTAGCAGAGAGTGCCCTCTGGAGGCTGGGAGGACTCTAGACCTAGGGCCATTAGTTTTCACCACTGTTGAGGCTGGGTGGTTTGGAGTTCAGCCCCTACCCCAAATTTAGAGCCCTGGTCTCTGATAGCTGACAAGAAGAAGGCCTTTGCTGTTCTTGACTGTGAACCAGAACCATGTGGTTTTGCTGTGAAAACTTCACACTTAGTAGACCGAGTTCTATGGAGGTTACATGATTTAGGGAGCAATTTGGAATTTCCTAGGTAGGAAGATCCGTCCTGGTAAGCTTTGGTTTGCCTTTTAGGTGCTAAGAGTTGGTAGGTTAGAACATTCCTGTGATCATTCTATCCCCCTCACACATATCCTCACCACCGCTTGGGTCCACAGTTTACCTTTTTCTGTTGATGCTATGCTGTGGGCATTTGAGGCCCTATGAGTTAGTACTGGGCCCTCTCCTCGGGGAGCTGCAGATTTTCAACTTGCGTGGCTATCACAATGGAAGGCAGACTCAGAGAGGGAGGGTCTGGAGGGTCCTGAAAGATAGTAAACGAATAGCATTGGATGGGAGATGTGATCAGAAAGGCAGAGGTGACCAGACAGAACTGTCGGGCAGACCAGAGCTTTTGGTATTCAAGGACAGAAAAGGATGGTGACAGCGGCCGGCCTGTGCTGACCCTCCCTTCATTCTGGAGTGGGGTTGTTCTTCATCAATTTGGTTCCTTATGACACCCCACGAAGGCAGATGTAATTCTCCCCATTTTGCAGATGAGGAAATGGAGGTCCACAGGCAGGCTGTCCCAGCCCAGATTCTCAGCTTATAAATGACAGATCAGGCATGTGAGTGTGATGCTGTAGCTGCCATTCCGAGGGTCCTGCTTGGCATTCCCCAGTAACTGTTCCCTGCACAAGTGAGATGCTGGTAGCAGGGTGGGGACAAGATAGAGGGAGGCTGCTTTGTTTGTGCCAATGCCTGGGGAAAGGTGGCTAACAAGGGGCCCAGCGCTCATGCTTCTCCAAGCCACCAGTAGACAGACCTAGCGGTTCCCGAGACCACACTAGCCACAGCCCCGGCCCTCTTGGTGTCCACTGCTCTTGCTGCGTGTAGGCAGCCTCAGGACGGAGACCGCCCTTATTTGTCTCACACAATGACAATCCCAGCGCCCAGCCTGGAGCATTCTATTTTTATCCAGCTCCAAGGTCTCGGCTTTGCTTTCCGGTCCTGTTGTTGAGGCCACTTTGGGGAATGGTGGGGATTTCGAGGCTCAGTCACAGGCCCAGGCACGCAGGGACATGTTGGTGGACAGGACCTGGGCAGCAGGAGGGGAGACTTTGTGTCAATTCTGCTCTGTAGTTTGCGGAACACTTTCTCTTGAGGCCTCCATCAGCCCTCCATTTAAATGTAGGCTCATTGCTAAACATTTGAGAAAACTGGAGCTTATTGAGGTTCAAGAAACTTTAATGAATGGGAATGATTGTATGAGGCACAATGTGAATGGAGGATAGTGTGAAACACAATGTATACGAACTTTGTATGCAAATCATTATAAAGTAAATTTTTTTAAAAAATAAAGGACTTTACCAAGGTGGCAAAATACAAGGTTTTTACCACATCCAAAGACCTTTACACCTAGAGCCAACCGCAGGGTAAAAGAGAAAGGATATCTATTCCTTTAGGTGATCTGGTGGCACAGTGGTTAAGTGTTTAGCTGCTAACAGAGAGCTCAGTTGTTCATGCCCACTTGGTAGCTCCCCAGGAAAAAGACCTAGAGTTTATCCACAAAGATTACAGCCTAAAGACCTGCTTTTAGGGTCACTATAAATGAAAAATCACTTGAAGGCACTTGACAACACAGGTCCCGTCCAGTGTCCTCTGACTTCACCTGACAGTTTGGTCTTTTTTTTTCCTTTCTAACTCGGAGCCTTGGTTGCCACCCTCTGACTGTCTTAAACCCCCTTACACTGTCCTCTATAGCATTCCTCCTCCTCCACCTCCTCCCCCCATTCCTATGGCTCTGAATTAGTTCAGCTTAGTTCAGTCAGGCCCAAGGAGCGGCACTCGAACATTCTTGAATTTGGGTGACCTGGAGTGATAATTGGAATTGGGGGAAAATGATGGTCACAGTTCTGCTAGAAATTGAATATCCCTCTTGGAGTGTGTGTGCATTGCATCGCAACCAAATGCCTTGCCTGCAAAGTGGGGAAACTTACACAGTCAACTCCAAGATGGCAACTGTCCACAATGTTTTGAATGTGTGTTCCTTTCCACAGTTTCAACAATAATCCAGTCTCCTTCACTAGGCTTCTGAAGGGTTCACTCTGCTTCTTCTGAGTCTCCAAACCTAGGACTTTGACCAATAACGTTTCCTATTCTAATTATCATTCCTTTTCACCCAAATGTTAAAAATTCAAATCTCTTACATGTCCATTTGCTAGCCATGACCAAACCAGTTCAAGCTGCTTCAAAGCCTGCTCAATGCTTCAATATCAGTTCAGTTTGGAGAGGAAAGCAAGAAACTTAGTTCACTAAAGAACTCATACTAAACTGTGAGTGGCTGGTAGACCATCATTGGCCATGTGCATTATTCAGAGACTTGCAGGAGGAAGGATTAGGGATTGCTTCGCTCTCAGCTCATGTCATTCGAAACCAGAAGAACAAAATGAGCATGGTACCTGAGTGTGAAGCTTTATGCTTCGAGTGAGAGAAGAAACCCCAGCCAGGTAGGCTCAGTGTTGGGTGGGCTCTGGGCTGTTTAACAAAGCCTGAAGTGGCGGGCTTTCTCTGAGCCCAGGCCTGGCAGCTGTGGGGTTAAGTTAGGTGGTGGGGCACTGGGCATGTTTCTTGGAGACCAGTGGTTTCTCTCTGGTATCCTAATTAGGTGCCTGTTGGGTTAGTGCCCAAGTGCTTTGTTAAGCATCTGTTGTATGTAAATCATGGCATACACTGCATATCTTGGGTACAAGACAATCCTTTCTAATGACTTTGACTGTGAGTATTTGCATCTCAATTTTCAAAGCATGGTTTCTTTAGAGCTGCAGCAGTGAGGGCGAGCCCCTCATTTTACAGAGCAGGAAGCTGGGGTATGGGAGCCATGGAAGACTGCGTGGAGAACTGGGAGACTGAGCTAGATGTTTCCTCTACGAATCAGATCATATGCTCCTTGTGGGCACAGATTCTACAGGAGATTAGCATTCTGCAGATCTGATAGATTTGTGGAACAGAGACTCAGAGGTTAGGAGATTTGACTATGGGCCATACAGCAAGTTTCAGGCAGAG